CTGCTGATTCAGTATGTGTCAGGATGCCAAACGTGTCATGTTAAAAGCCACCCTGATAGTATTTGGTATTCAGTACTAACAACTAACCAGTTTTTCTTTAAAAGGGTGAGGGAAAAAATCTACATATTGGGTGTACCAAGACAGTGGATAATTTGCATTAAGCATCCAGACATTCTTTTTTTGCAATCTGTCACCCTTCACTGGTTTTTTACTTTATAATCTTACAATGTATGGGGAGCATAAGCACTAAAAAAAGTTGGACCTTGGGGACAGAAGCTGGAGCAGGATTTAGCAGCAGTAGGGAGCAGACTGACACAGGGCAAAACATCTGTGAGCTCACTTCTTTAACAAAGCATTTCTGAAGTAACAATGCAAAGTTTCTCAGTAATAATTAGAGTTCATTAACTTCATACAGAATGACCAAAAGTATTCCAAATACATTACCGTGTTTTAATCTCACACTCAATGTATTTTTTGCAAAACTGCTATTTGAATATCACTTACTGGGCATAACATCACATGAGACAGAATAATATACCTAGAATAATAAAAGGAATATGAGTAGAGGTACTGAAGTGGTAAGCGTGTTTAAACATAAACTTAGGCATAATGGCAGATACTGAGTGTTAAGAGAAAATTCAAAATTGTGAACATACTAGAAAGCAAAATCTGTTGAGTATGGTAACAGTAAAAGTAGTTGTCAAGCAAGCATAGAGGGACTCATTACTAGGCTAACTGCAGCACTTTAAATAGTGATGTGAGGAAGAATACTTGTAAACCTTGTTTACTATATTAGTGCAAGCTATCTGTCCCAGCCAATAAAAATATGAATTCTCTAATATAAAACTAGACCAAGATGAGATGCTGTTAGACAAAGTAACATCAGTGGGTGATGAGGCAACACAGCAACAGGTGATAAAAACAAGAATAAAACTGCTTCACGGAGCAGGTCCAGGAGCTCTGTTCCACCGGCTGCCTGTGACGCACTAAATAAGCAGCACCAAGGAGAACGGGAGCTTCACGGAATAGCCTGCGGTCGTTAGCTGCCATAAACATGCCCTCGTTTGCTTCTGATCTTCCTGCACAAAGCAGTTCACGGCTTCTTGCTCCAGAGTCTGCAGATACTTCTGGCTGTACTGTGATTACCAGCCCGAGGTGCTGTTGCCAGCATTGCAGAACCTCACGTTGAGGACCTTCACCACACAGGGATCTGTATACATGGAGCTTATTCCTACAAAGTTGAAGTCTGTGGGACTTTTAACTGTGAATCTGCATATTCTGGTTAAGGATTTTAGAATATAGTGTGCAAAGATCCTGCTTTGCTAGATTATGACAGAGACACTTCTGAAAAGAAGAGGCTCTTCAGGCCTGAGCTCAGGCACAGGGATGTCTTGGAAATTATATTGCCACCAGCCAGCACTTTCCAAAATCTGCAAGTGAGCTCTAGTGCACACAAAGGATTAATAAATAATACGCACATATAAATGGCTTAGACATTAAAGGAGACAGAAGATGTTTTGAATCAGTTGTTATGGAGAAAATATTTTATAAATACTGTTTCCATTGTAAGTCAAGTTGAGAATATCACTGTTATGTGGAATTCTGCATCTAAAAAATTCTGAGGGAACCTTCATTCAAATAATTTTTGTGTGTGCAGCTTAGCATTCTTATTTAAATAGCTAACTGGCCAAGAGAGTCCCCAAGAAGAGAGTCCTTCACTTTGCAGCATGTTCTGCAACATCACTCTCCTGTCTATTTTCCCAAATTACTAAAAAGTTGTCCAAGACTGAGGAGGGAGTCACACAGTGACTCCCCAAATATGAGTCAGTCTTCACTGCTGCCAACCAGGATCTGACAATGAAGACCTGGCAAAAGGTTTGTATTTTCTATTATATTGGTGTATTTTTGGCTGCTGATTTTATTATAAAACTAACTAATTTTGGTTTTATATTAGACGGAAAAGATTCCAAAGCACTCCTTGGAATTGCACTGTTTTACTTCAATGTCGCTTTCAGGTTTTTGATAAAAGTTACGTGCGCTATTCAGATAGTCTTTACAATTTTTCAGCTTAGTTGCGAGAGCCACCATTAACAATAAACTGAAAGAGAGAAAGATATTCTAGTAAGAGGTTTTTCCCCCTGTCGTATGTACCTTACCCAGGAATTGCGTTTGGAAGCCTATGGATATCAGGGAGTAGAGAATAGTAAAACAGCAACCATTACTGTTGCTTTTTAAAGGTCTTCAGTTCTCGCAAAGAGCAGCAGGAAAGGGTTTCTGCTGTTCTGTTGGAGTGGCTCTTGATTCCTGGTGTGTTTGTGAAGTTTCTGATGGGAAGTTTTACTGTTCTCTTCACAGTTCATGGCATTAAGTGGACATGCAGCAATGGAAACAGCAGTTCAGGGTTCTCGGTGGAACAGCTCGTGCAGCAGATCCTCGATAGTCACCAGACCAAACCACAGCCTCGGACACACAACTGTCTCTGCACTGGTACCTTGGGTGAGTACCTCGAGAGGACACAAAATTGATCACAGCTAATCCAGACTTGAAGTAAGGTTTGTAGCGCTGAAGTGCTAAAAATGCTGTATCGTGAAATGTTGAGACACAATGAAGTCAGAGGTGACAGAAGAAGTCAGAGGTGACAGAAGAAGTCTAGAGCACAAAAAATGCAGCTGCAACTTCTGGAAAAATGTCAACACTTTGTAATGTGCAAGTTCTGATAAATGTTTTCCATGCTTGATCTGCTCAAAAAGGTATATTCCCTTCTACATGGTTAGATTTTGTTACAGAAGCTTTAAAATTTAATGTTCTTCCATCTTCACCCTCTGAACCCCTTGTCCTGCAGCCCACTTTGCTAAAGAAATGGGCTCAGGTAGTTAATTACAAGGTACCACCTGAAAATACAGGAGATTTTTGTTAAACAAGTTGGCTTTGTCTTGAGTGAGACTACAACAGGAAGAAACAGCATTCTTAGTATTAGCATTATACAGAGAATGGGAAGCTGAGTTCTCCAACTTATCTCCTTTATAGCTGCCTCTTCCTAGTGCTTTGGCCAAGTAAAATATAAGACACATAATTAGTCTTTAGCAAAATTTATAAAGGAAAGCTGTCAGTGCTTCAAAGGGTTTATTTTCTTTTTGGGGGCAGCTGCATTATACAATCAAGACTTAAGTAAGAATGATGACCTCTGAAATACCTGAGTTTGGATTAAAATTCAACCCTTAAGGCTCAGCATTTGATCCAGGCTTGCAGATCTGAACATGAATCCTTTTATTCCTCCCTTTGATGTTTTGTCTTGTGCTAAGTCTGCTGCATGCTTTTTAACATAACAGTATCACTTTGTTTTGTAATGGCTTGCACGTTGACACATACATTCCTGGTTCCTTACTGTCATCCGCAAAGGCGGCAGCCTGAAAGCCTCTCCCTTGTTCCTGTTCATCTCTATACCTAGGAGAATAGAGAGATTTAATATTGCATTTAGTCTCAAAAGCACTGTCCTGAACTACTTTGTGACCTGATTCAAATCTTGAGCACATAATAGAGAAGGTCCCCTTCAAGGGCAAGGAACAAAAGATTGTAGCCATTAGCTACAAGGAGGAGGTTTCTTTCCCCCTTTAGTCATTATACAGTGCCATAATTAATGTTCTTTCCTCATTCTAGGGAAAATTAATCAATTAAGGAAAGAAACATCAAAAATTCATGGGCTGTTCTTCTATAAACAACAAAAGCAGTCTGTGTACCAGAGTTTATGGCTCAGATGCCCTTGCAGACAGAATCTTTTACTCTGTCCTACCTGATATCCAAACTCCCAGGAACTCAGGTGATGTTTATCTTCTGTTGGGCCAGTAAAGGCGCCAGCTGGTCGTCTTCCAGTGACCTTTGCCTCAGCGCTCCTCAGGCGCGCCGATACTAATCGTGCACTCTGTGTGTGACCTCTGACAGTACAAAATGTTTATGAATGACTTAGAACAAGAGAAACGCATCACCATCCTTACGGGAGGGAAAGCTTTCTTTGTGCTGGCTAACGTATTACTTCTTTAATAATTTGACTGGCAGCTGTAACAGACACAATGATGACAAGAAGATGAGGGTTGCAGTCTAGGCGGCAGGGTGACGCCAGGGACAGGAACATGGTACAGCATCTGTCACCTCCAGATTACCAGTCAGCATCCAACCCACGAGAGCAGTTGTCAAACCACCTGACATCGGCCAGCATGAAGAGCCGAGTGTCTGTGTCACAGAGGGCTGAGGTCTTGTCTGTGGTGCCAATGAAGCAGGGTCTGTGAGGCAGAAACCCTCTGCTGCAGCTGACAGCAGCAGCCCTTGCTTTGCAGACTTCACACTGAGATCAGGCACATTTAAGTAACTCAAAAACTTGTCACAAATGCTGATTCGTCTCTTCCTAATGTATTGTCTGATGAGGAAAGGGGTAGGTGGGGTGAGGGTAAGGGTGCACACGTGCCTGTTTTGAGGATGCTGTCATTGCACATGATGGTTCTGTGTGCTAGATAAAGAGAGCTATAAATCTGGCACTGCCAAGAAATTAGTTTTATTTCCAAGGTGTATCTTGCTCTATTGTGTGAATGCTCGCTGTCTCTCACACACGCGTGTGCATAAGCACAGCTCTCCTTTGCTACAGATGTAAGATACGCTACTGGCATCGTCTTAATTTTGTGTTTACTGAATGTCTAATGTTGCTGTTTTCTGGCACAGGGGCAGGAAGCAGTGTGCATCACAAGTGTAACAGTGCCAAACATCGCATCATATCACCAAAGGTCGAACCAAGGACAGGTGGGTACAGCGCTCATTCAGAGGTACAAAATAACGATGTCTCTGAAGGCAAGAACGAGCACAGTCACGGCAAGGCCTCCAGCCGAGAGAAGAGGAATGGCAAAGTGGCAAAACCGGTGTTGCTCCATCAAAACAGCACTGAGGTTTCTTCCACCAACCAGGTGGAGGTCCCTGACACGACCCAGAATTCTCCCGTGTCCATCAGCAGTGGATTAAATAGCGACCCGGATATGGCAGATAGCCCGGCAGTCACTGGGGTCTCCAGTATGGCTGTAGCATCAGTTATGGGAAGCTTGTCACAAAGTGCCACCGTATTTATGTCAGAAGTCACCAATGAAGCTGTGTATACCATGTCACCCACCTCTGGCCCAAATCAACACCTTCTGTCCTCAGATGCAGCTGCACAAGGACTGGTACTTGCTGTGAGTTCAGATGGACACAAATTTGCTTTTCCAACAACCGGCAGTTCAGAGAGTTTGTCAATGCTACCCAGCACCGTCTCTGAGGAACTTGTGCTCTCCACAACTTTAGAAGGAAATAGAAAAATTCCAGAAACCACCATGAATTTTGACCCAGACTGTTTTCTTAACAATCCCAAGCAAGGGCAGACTTATGGTGGAGGAGGTATGAAAAGTGACAGCATCAGTACAAACATAAGGCAGTCACCCACAACGGAACGTAGCTTCAACTTCAGTACAACCCTCACAAAAGAAATTAAAACTGAGGACACATCTTTTGAACAACAGATGTCCAAAGAAGCATTTTCCTCCAGTTCTGCATCTAACACTCTCACCCTCACTACTGGTTCAGGTTTGCTTCCATCTGGAGGAGGTCTGAGCCCAAGTACCACCCTGGAGCAGATGGATTTCAGTGCCATTGACTCCAACAAGGACTATTCTTCCAGCTTCAATCAGACCGTCCAGAGTCCTCACGTTCATCAGACCCCTTCCCCCAGTTTCTTTCTGCAGGATGCCAGCAAACCTCTTCCCCTCGAGCAAAACACTCATAACAATTTGAACGACACAAGTGGCTCTTTTGTGAGCACGTTAGGAATCCCCAGTGTGAAAACAGAGTCCTCGTCCCAAACGACTTCCAACTGTAATGGCACAGTGGAAACGAGAATAGAGTCCACCTCTTCTCTCCAGCTCATGCAGTTCCAAGCAAACTTCCAGGCTATGACTGCAGAGGCTGAAGTTCCCATGGAGACCTCCCAGCAGGCAGAAGGGAATGAAAATCTACTTAAATCAGGGGATCTTCAAGCCTGCAGCACAGAACACTACTTGCAGCCTGAGGCCAACGGGAGTATCAGGAATGGGAACAATCTCCCTATTCTCCAAGGAAACGTGGTACAAGGACTCTATCCTGTGGCCCATCCCAGCTTAAATAACTCCTCCAACATGGAGCTTAACCTGGACCACTTTGACATCTCCTTCAGCAACCAGTTTTCTGATCTAATTAATGATTTCATATCAGTAGAAGGTGGGAGCAATGCTCTCTATGGACACCAGCTGGTGTCAGGTGACAGTGCCGGACTGTCTCAGCCTGAAGAGAGTAACAGAGAAACTTACAACCAGGCTGAAATGTGCATTCCTTGCTGCAGTCCTCAGCAAGCCAACATGCAGCTCAGCAGCACAGAGAATGGAGCCAGCACTATGGCATACATGCACGTGGCTGAGGTGGTCTCAGCAGCTGCGGCACAAGGCACTTTGGGGTTGCTGCAGCAGAGTGGGCGCTTGTTCATGGTGACAGATTATTCACCAGAATGGTCTTACCCTGAGGTAAGTCTAGGGCTTTTACTCATTAACATTTACTGCCTTATCTTTCATTGCTTTGTTAACAAGGGCTCCCAAGGATGGTTTTGTTAAAGCTTTGACAAGGCTTTTGAAATACTTTTTAAAAGAAGTCGGAGCATCTGAGGCCATTTGCATGTCTGAGTGTACTTTTAATTAAGTACTTCATTACCCTGACAGGGCCCTTTCTTCACTTAGGAGGCATCCAAACAGAAATGTTTTGTTTCACTGAAAAGAAAAGTATTTCACATGTGATGACTTCATAGTGCTACTAGCCACATTAGAGCAACAGAGTTTGCAGACTGGAACTGGTCCTTAAGTCTTGCTCTGATTTAGTAGAGTAGTTCCAGACCTGCATTGCCTTAGTGAGGTCAGTGTTTACCTCCATCCCACAGACTGTCCAAAATCAGTCGTACACACCACAGGTTAAAAATGTCAGCAGCACAGGCTTTTCTGATGTGAAGGAATGCTGGAGGAAAGAGGCTGTTCTGAGCCAGTAGTGGAGAGGCAGGTTGTTTTGAATTAAGAAAAATGTCCTTTTTGTTTCTGTAAGCCCATCCTTGGAGCACTGTTGTATCTGTTCCCTTATGGAACTGTTCAGGAGAAGATCTCTCTGTCCCCGATGACTAGCGCTATCTGATGATCAGTCCTGTGATGCCTCCCCCAGTAAGTGTGCATCTGTGACACCACGGGATGGCAAGTTTGCTAGTGGGCGAGGCAGCAGAAATATGCAGCAATAAGCAGATGAGGTGGCTTAGCCTTCAGCTGAATGGTCCTGTGACAGCTCCAGGAACGTGGTGTTACAGGGGCAGGTGATGAGCTGGTATTCAGTGGCTCTAAGGGTTCCCATACTTGGCAACATGAGATTTAGTGTGGAAGCAGGGGTGTTCACTCTGCAGATGGAAGGAAACAGAGGTTGCCAGCATGCAGGAATGGCTGATGGGCACTGATGAAAAGCCTCCTTTGGGAGTTTTTTTCCTTCTGTTTAGTTGCTTTCTCTCCAGACAAGTCTGTCGTGGCCAGCAAGGTGGGGTACACGCTTGAGCACAGTGGGCAGCTGAAGGCATCCTGACACTCGTTGCAGCCTCACCCAGCAGTGGCCGGCAGCTGACTGGGAGGTCTAGGACTGTGGCAGGAGATGCCGCGGGGGCTTACCTCTGCTGGCTGCCAAATCCAGAGTCCCCTTCAAGAGACAAGGTGGTCATGGATCGTCTACCACACACTGCCAGCCAGAGCTTAGCTTCTCTTGGTCTTGGTGGAAAGCTGGGTCTGAATGTGCTGGTCTTGCTCCTCTGGAGCACACAAGGTGAAGTGTCAGCGCTGTGGCGGCCCCTACCCGCCGTCCTCGGGCGGGTCACACCGCACAGG